GGGTTTCACTCCCTTTGGAAGTGGAACAGTGTCATATACTGCATTAGTATTGAGACTTAGGAGCTCCTCCTCCAAGGCAGACTTCCATAATTCTCTATCCGGACGTGATGAGGCTTTCTTTAGTGTCCTTGGAAGGTCTGTGTTAGATGGACCGGTATTTGCTATTCCAGCAAAGAATGTCTCCTCTGTATTAGATGTTTCTTCATGAACCTCAGGAGTGTTAGGTTTCTCCATGGAGTTGTCATGCTGCTCTTTTCGAGACTGTTCCTCATCTAGAGTCCTTTGATAATCTCGATTTTTGTCTGCAGGACGGGTCTGGCGACTGCTTCTGCGTACTCCTAGGACTTCAGCAGGCATGACTACTCTTTAAGGAACTTGTGCAGGTACTCCAGGGAGTAGACACATTTGTGTGTGTGTTGCCCTACTCACTCCTGAAGGTGTTAAATCACTCCTCGAAGGCATTGGATGACTCCTCAGAGGTGTTGTATGCCTTCCAGAAGCTGATCCAATGGACAGGCTGTCTAGCTGTATTCGGACTTTTTCCACATCAGCTGGCTGTATGTTGAGGGGCTGTCCTCCCACTGACTGTGACTCTACTTTGGGTTTCCATTCTGAAGATGGCCAGTGTTCAGGTCTTGGTTGTAGAAACTGTTGTGGAGGGTGTCTTAGCTGATCAGGTGCTCCCACTGCTCTCGGAACGTCTCCACGGAGGTATTGCTCCACTGTTCTTGGAACATCTCCATGCTGATATGGTTCCATTGCTTGTGGAACATCTCCTTGGAGATGTGGTTCCATTTGCAATTCATTTGGATCTCGGATCCGAGGGTCAGCATCATCCTCCTCCAATGTATTTTGGTCTGGATGGTGAGCATTCTCTGCAATGAGTCCCTCCCACTGATCTGTGCTAGTGTCTGTGTTCCAGGGAGCAGTGTTGTCCTTTGGTACCTTTCCGGATTCATTGAATATGACATGCCAACTGGAAAACACAGTTTGTTTTTCAGTGTCTAGGAGTTTGTAGGCTTGCTTTCCATGTGTGTAGCCAATCATTATGGCTTTGCTCCCCTTGGAGTAAAACTTCCCTTGCCTTTTGCCTTTCAGAATCAAGGCATATGCTTGGCATCCAAAAGGGCAAAACAAAGTTGGATCAACTCTCCTTTTAAACAGTATTTCATATGGGGTCTTTCCATGGAGTCCTGATGCTGGGCTGCGTGCTGTGATATATGCAGCTGTTTGCATGGCATCTACCCAAAATAACTTTGGGAGCTTGGAATCATAGAGCATAGTGGTTGCTAATGTAGCCAATGTCTGATTCATGTGTTCTGCAATGCCATTTTGTTCCGGAGTATCTGCAGCTGTAGTTTCTTGGATGACACCATCTCCTCGGAGTTGATTTTTGAATGCATTGCCAGTATATTCTCCTCCCCCATTGCTCCGGAGGAATTCTGTGTATAGTGGAGTGAAGTTTTCTTCTCCCAAATGAGTCCGGAAGAATGTTTGGACATCTTCTTTCCATTGTTTGTATCATTCCAGTGCTTCACTTTTATGTTTTAGGAAATATATCCATGGAAATTTGGAGAAATCATCTACAATGATAATCCAGTACCGAAAACCCTCCCTGGAAGTTGGTTTGATTGGTCCTCCAATATCTGTGTGCACAATTTGTATGGGGCGCTTGGCCCGGTTTCCTCCAGTGGACTTGAAAGGTAATTTCTTCATCTTTCCTAAAGCACAAGGTTCACAAAAGTCTGGGGTTCCGGTAAGGGTGTCTATGTTCTGGAGCTGTCCTTTTGTAACCATTTGTTGCAAGTGGTCCGTTCCAATGTGTCCCATTCTCCTGTGCAATAAATTTACATCTACTGCTGCAAAAGCTGACTCCAGGTTGATTTCAGGTTTTGCTTGGATGTGATAAAGTCCTCGCTTGTGTAAGGCAGTGAGGATAAGTTCCTCCTTTTTCCAAACTTCACAAGTGTTTGACCCTGCTGGAAAAAGTGCTGATAACCCCATTTTGGACAATTTGTGGACAGAGACGAGTGCTAAAGTGAAGTTTGGCACAAGTAAGACATTTGACAGTGCAATATTGTAGTCCTTTTTGCCAACAGTTGCTTGTAGGATTACTGTTCCAATGCCAATGGCATTTACAGAGGATTCATCCCCAAAACTGATTGTCCTCGGAGGATGCAGAACATGGTATGTTCCTGGCTCAAACCAGGAGCGGTGAGGGACCATGTGGGATGTTGCTCCGAAGTCAATAATAATTGTTGTTTGGTCTTATCGGGTTCCGACACAAGGTAAGCTTGAATGCGTTTAGCAAGGGGCTTGGAAATATGTACATGATCCAATGCAATATGACTCTGTTCCTCCTCAGAGTCAGATCCAGATGATTGCTCCGCTGTATTTGCCTTTTCCTTCTCTTTTCCTTTATCCTTGTGTCTTTCCTTTCCCTTCTTCCTTTGACTTTTTCCAGCTGACTGAAGTGTTTGACACTCCGAGGTGTTGTGTGATTTGGCTTTGTGGAAGTCACACCACTTCTCCTCGGATTTGAGTGCTGATTTGGAACCTCCAGGGGCCTTCCCTGACTGTCATGCAACTTCTGCAGTGATCCGGATCTCAACTGCATCAAAGGTAAGTTTATTTTCTTCAATCGTGTTGATTACTGATGACTGAAATATTTGCCATTCAGGAATGCATGGGAGAGATTGGAGAAGAGCAAAGGCCATGAGTTTGGTATCAACTCCTAGTTGTAAGGACCATTTTACTATTTTCTTATCTTCTCTATGTCTTGGCTCTCGAACACTTTTCCCATTACACCTCTGGCTCTAGGGCTAGAGGTATCATTTGCTATCTTACTTCTCATAGCCCTCACAGGCTTTCTTAACCACCGCTACCACTTTATATCACAGATCAGAGACTGGGTATCATTCCCAGCCAGCCAGCACAATGGGTAGGGACTGGTAGTAGGCATCTTGCCAACCAGCTCCAAGTCCCATCAAGGCCTGGATATACTAATAAACACTTTGATCAGGATTGTACCTCATCATGAGGATACGGTTCCTGAACACGCGTGACAAACACCTATTATTAGTACAATTCTCTCACCCGCTGATTAATCATTCAAAGTCGTGTACAAAGGGCGTTACAAGGTTAAATTCATGCATATATCTTGATACATAAAAACAAAATCTATATAACTACATTCCGAAGGACATGCAGCTATGTCCTGGATCATCTCTGTCCTTCAGGAATTAACGACTAATAGCTCGTCACTCCGTTTCTTGCACAGGAGAGGATTCTACCTGCCTTTCAGCCGCGGGTCGTTCTTCTCCTGCTGATGGGACCGACAGGAGTATCGTGTCTAAATATGTATGTGCGTCATTTTCATGATGGTTGAACCGAATGCTGGATGCGGGTACCGTGCCCGAATATGGGATTGTGTCACTTTCGTGAAGGTTGAACAGAATGCGGGATGCGAGTATACTATGTAGGACGAGTTGAAATCTGCAAGGAACCTAGAGATGAGATGATTGGACTGTTGGCAGCAGAGACGAGCGTACGTTGCAAGGGATTCGTTGTATTGAGCCTGATGATGAAGGCCAGATCACAAAAGGTTCATCCTCAAACCGAACAGACGACAATAGGTAGGAAAAACCACTCACAGGGAAAGAGCAATAAAGGATAATGTTGGCCAAAGTGATCACTAAAAGTTACTACTATAAAGCGGACTGCGGGCAAGTTAGTGGAAGAAGATAAACGCACAGATGATGGAGCCGATATATAACAAGCCATCACGATAAAGTGTTCGTATCAAATTACTCCTTGATGAGTAGTAGTGGTTGTATCTTCTAAAAAGAGTCAAACACAACGAAACTAGGTACGACATATAAATCCAAGGCTATCATCCAAATTTTGAAAACGTACCGATTTCAAAGACGATCACAAACATATAGTAGAACACGAAAGATTCAGGGCCGAATAAGAAGCAGAGTCCTAAGTTTGCTTATGATTGAGGAAAAGTCAGCTGCGAGAACGCGGTAGAAATTAATATCTTACAATGACCGTCATTTATGTTCACTTTAGCTGGCAGTATTGTACCGCCCAAGACTATGATCTAGGGAATTCCCTACTTGATGAGTTTATGAACAGTGTACTTGATCAGAAACGCGTACAAGGGAAAAAGGAAGCAACTGCAACAAAAATCTCTTACTACACTTCCAAAATGCGTACATTCGCATGACCAAAAGACCTGAGATGCTGACAGTTAGATTGGATATGACAAGAATAAGTCGGCGGTACCTTCTGTAGATAGAGTGATAATAACAATTTCAACTTTCAAATGACCGTAGTGAGGTGCGAAACTGTTTATTTTGAGCATCAAAAAAGACCTACCGACCACCAAGTATGACAACGTTGAGCACTAAATAATATCATTATAAATATACACGTGAATGAAATAAGAGGGGATGGTCAAGCTAACATTGTCCGGCACTGTTTGGAAAGCGCCTGACTCGCCAAATTGAATGAGAGCAGAATGATACCAACATGATTCTCACTCACTATACGCAATCATGGTCGCACACACTAGTGTAAGATAGCGCGAGATTGTGAACATGAAACGGGTAAGTCCCCATTTCTTACCCCAGACCCAGAACACCTGTGTTTCTCCGACTTAATGAGACAACGTTGAAAGAAACAAAGTAGCGAACCTCGGTTTCGAGCGTAATGCAATAATCGAACACCTAAGTATTTGTCAGTGTGAGTGTGTTAGTTATAGTCATCAGCTGCATATTCTTACCCATAGTGCGAATGCTGCGACTGTTCAAAAATATAACTTGAATGTTAGCAGTATTTCCTGAACGGACATGCGAAGTCCTTACTATTGAAGTACTGCAAGACATGAGATGGCAAGTAGGATAAAATTGATAACTAATTGCGTACAAACCTTGGACGTCTGCAAGCCAGAACGGAAAGAAACGGAAAGTGACTCGGACGACATTCTGGCCCTCCCACAATTTGAGTATGTATGCAATTGTTCCTGTATGCTCGCTGGGGTGATAGCAAGGCTGAGTCGCCGACAGAGTCATAGATATACACGATGAACTTTATATACAGCGACACAGGCGAGCGCGGGCTGCTATCACAATATCACCTACCAGTGTATGATTATGGTCATCATGGCTGTACAAAACATACGATCAGACCAGATTTCGTCCTGTTCCACCCACCGTCTGTGCATTGGGAAAAGGAAGCGAGAATCCTCCGTAATTGATATCGCTACCCTGCACCCAGCAGATAAGTGACATATCAGGGACGACAGGGGATTATTATGGTGCGGGGAATCTGTGGAGGTTCACTATCAGCAAGTGGACAGAGTACAGCAAGATATAACAACACAACACACTGAATGTCGGTACTTAGATGATGGTGATATGATGCTTGCCTCCGAAAGGGCCTGTATCATGATAATTTCTATACTAAGAATCGGCGTATCATGTAACGATAGGTCCTTGAGCACATCATTGGGGAGAGAACCCCGGTAGAGCCTAGCTCGTCGGTTACATTCATCATGAGCGTTTCTGAACTCATGCTGTGCACTTGCTGACTCGGAAATAACCGTGATCAGCACACCAGTGATCCCGTGACCGTCCAGTAAATCTATTACAGCCCTCCATCTTTACTGCAAAATGACATTGAATCATGCTCACGAATCACTTTTTGGCCCTCCATCTGAGCCAATCGACGTTTCCAAGTTCCTCCAGGATGCAGGAAGTAGATTTGGCCCGGGAGGCAGCTCATCAGCAATCTCTACATTGAATGCCAGGTGGGAGAACCTCACCCAGGAGAAGATGGATGCCGTCCAGGCTGAATGTTTAGGAAGGTGCGTTCTCTTATGTTGACATCACAACTCAAGATACCAAGCCGCTGGATTCTCTTTCGGTCATAAATGATACTAACAAGTCATAGAACAGCATCGCCGAACTCAAGTCGTCCGCTGAAGACGCTTGGAATAACCCAATCGTGTCTGCTCATTTGATCAAAAACCACGAGACTGCAGTCGGAGCCATATACGACCAAGCTGACACCAGCAAGTCCAGTCGTACAACCGCAAGTAACCGCGGAGGCCGCAAACGCAAACGCCAGGATGAGGAGGGACTTGCTGACAGGCCCGAGGTCAAATCGCTTCAAGAAAAACTAGACGCTATACAACTTAATTGCTGGTCGTATGTAATGAACTGTTCATCCTTGATATCGAGTGTGGAAGATGGTGCTTATGCAAGTATGTTTATAGACTACCACCTGGCTCTGCACTTTTCATTCGTCCGTCAAAAAATGGCGATCAGAATGCTTTAACCACCGCTAAAAGAATGGGAAGAGGGGTGCTTTCCTTGAACCAAACCCCGATCCCACATTCGTCGGACACCAGAACGAGTATATCCACGGATACATCTTATCCATCTTCTGGTCAAGCCCTGATTACGATCAGTGTACACAACAGGATTCCCTGGTCCCACAATTCGTTCTCTCGAGTCTCACAGCACGTTGTCATCTCTACGCAAAGCCTCGCAGACTTGGTTGAAGTGATCCCCTGTATTTCTAACGAAATTCCAGATGAGAATTTAGACGATGAAGGGCATGCAATAGGATACGAATTGGGCCAGGGGGCTCGTGGCCAAAGCGATCGAATGGGCTTTGTATTTTGTATAGAGGGCATTATTTATGATGAGACTGACGAAGGTGTTAATGCAGAGTGAGTCTCATCGACTATCAGTGCCATGCTAAATCATATTATTCCAAAAAGCAAGCTGCTTGCATATTTAGGAAGACTCCCGCAGGAGCAGCGACCACGGGTGATGAAGAGCGGCAGGTCGCTTCAGGACACAGTATTTGAAACGCTTACCCTCAGAATTAATGAGCCGTATTGGTTCCTCCACCAGGGGAGCTGTGAACATTTTGTCATTGTAGATCAAATAAGGTCAGTGTTCTGTTTTTCATTCCTGGATGTTTATTTACATTCCATAGATTACCCCATCCTTCCGATCCACCAACAGGATATCCTCTGACACTGCAAATAACACCTGCTTCCCTCGATCATTGCCGTGCCTGTACGAGAGTGCCTGCAGTATACTCCATCGTAGGTGATATGCGTCTCGGCGAGAGTCCGTGCGTACTGTGTGCACCGTGTTGGCGTAATATGGGCAAGCCGAGAGATGGAGACGAGGTAATGGTTGTGCCTTTAGTTAGTTACGAGCATGCATCATGGCTTGGAGAAAAAAATCCTATTACATCAGAATGTACCTAGCTAGACATCACCTGGACGTGACGCGTATAACGGTTGTGCTCGTAGTCCAAAATAAATGATTGACATATCATTACAAATGCAAAATCTATCTATGAGCGTCAGTATACGCCTAAGTAAAAGTCATAAAACTTGTCATAGCAATGCGTTGGTCTCTAAGAGCAGCACAATACCTAGCGTACGTCGTCAGTAAATCATGCACAGCAAATTGAGAAGAATGGTGAGCTTACTGTGTACAATCTCTGGAATGCTTTGTGTAGTCACGTCAACTACAAGATCCGCCTTGGATGGTGCCTCGTATGCAGTGTCCACGCCCACAAAGCCCTTGATCTCACCCTGCCGCGCCTGAGCATACACCCCCCGTCTGTCCGTCTGTTCACAGTGGTCCAGAGGAGTTGCCACATGAATCAAGAAGAAATTTCCGCCAGTACCACCAGACTGTACAACAGTATCACGTACAACCGCTCGTGAGCGCTCCTCCGGGGCGACAGGGGCTGCAATAACAGCAGCACCCGCACGAGTGAGTTCGGACGCAACGAATGCGATGCGCTGTAGGTGTTCGTGTCGCTCTTCTGAAGTATAACCATGTTGCGGTGTAAGGTCAGACCGCACGGTTTCGCCCAGCAGAAGAGACACGCTCCGACCACCTTGCTCGTTCAAGGATACCTGGAGTGCTTTTGCAATTGAGTCCTTGCCTGAGTTGTATAGTCCAGTGAGGAAGAGAACAAAGCCTTGTTTGTGTCGTGGGGGGTAACTCTCTCGGAGCGTCTTTACAACGGCACTGGAGTATGCAATCAACATTGATCCATCGAGTGATATAAATGAGAAACTTACTCGTAGCTAAACCAATCTGGGATAGGCGCTCCCGTTTTTAGACGTTTGCGCAATTCTGTACCAGAAATATCAAGCGTCTGTACACCAGCTGGAATCTCATCGACGGGTTGGTACTCGTCTGATGAAGGGAGGTATGTCATCTGCTGGAATGGTACCATTTCAATCTGTAGCTCGTCTTTATACTTCTCGACAAGCTCCTGCGCATCATAAGGACCGTAAAAATCTCTGCCTTGCGAGTTCTTTCCTGGGCCAGCATGATCTCTTCCAACAATGAAGTGAGTAGCTCCGAAGTTTTTGCGGATAATAGCATGCCAAACGGCCTCACGCGGGCCCGCCATTCGCATGGCTAGGGGAAGCAGAGCGAGATGGCCCATGCCATTAGGGTATTTCGCCATGATTGCCTCATAAACGCGCACACGGGTGTAGTGGTCGACGTCTCCAGGTTTGGTGAGACCGACAACAGGATGTATGAGTACGTTAGCTTGTCTTTGCCGTGCGGCACGGACTGTGAGTTCGCGATGGGCGCGGTGCATCGGGTTTCGTGTTTGGAAGGCAACAACTTTACGCCAAGCGAGTTTCCTGAAATGAGAGCGCAGCTCAGAGGGAGTGTCTAATTGTGCGATCCATCAGTTCGTCTTGGACTTAAACGATCGGTGCGGCATGACTTACAACGTAGGGCGACGTAGTCGAAGTGTGTAGGAGCCTGGATGGCCTGCACTTTTCCTCCGATGTAGAATTCCTTGACACGGTTGCGGAGATAGGACACGGATGGATGTGCTGGGTCATCTGCACCAAAGACCTGGATAGCTTCTCTTACTCGATCATGAGTATACACGTCATCAACGGTGATGATTGCCAATGCTTGGTCGTCACGAGGGTCACGAAGAGTTATACGGGCACCAGCTGTGATGGATAGTCGCTCGACGTCATCGCGGGACGCGTCCAGTGTAATTGGCATAGGGAAGAGAGTCCCATCAGCTAACCGTAAAGTATCGACCACACTATGAGCAATGTGCAAGTAAGCATTCTGAACTATTTGTGGTACGACAGGTCATAAAACACAACCTGTTGTAGTCTTGTTCGTTCATGAAACCCTCCAATGGGCTGAAACCTCCATTGATGATAAGTTCAAGATCACAGAGTTGTCGCTGAGAATATGACGAGCGTCAGTGATGAACTGCGCTATAAGACATATCTACAACAAACCTCAGTAAGAATAATGTCAGATAGCCTTGAAGCCTCTTCGCCGAGTTGTGCAGATATAGGTTCGTCTCTGGCGACAAGGTCCTGCGTCATTATAAGTTAGATTGCGTGCTCAAAGGAAGGAGCTGACATACTTTTAGAATTCCACCGTGAGGAGCGTTGGCCATTTTGTGAGTGCCGGAATATGAATTTGTCTGAACGGTATCGAGAGAAGCAACGCCACGAAGTATGATGTCAGCGTTTGAAGAGTCTTGACCAACACCACCTCGGGGAATTAAATGGTCAATTCAAAGTTGTGAGGTGTGTTATATGGGTAGCGCGAGTTCATCTGCGATGAGACAATATCACGCAATCGTTAGCCAGCAATAATGACGAATACTTATAGGTAATACAAAATCAAACTAATCGAAATTGAATTTCTCACATTGTTAAAGTTGAAGTCTATACTATTACATCGTTTCTTGCCAACGCTATGGGCATCTTGCAGGCACCGAGAGAGAGCAATTGCCCTCGAAAAACAAATCAGTAAAAGCTGGGTTGTCGAACGGAAAGTTGTATTTGAATGTTCCTCTATACCTTATATGGTAAGGGTATTACATAAGCGTGTCTCCTGTGCCCCCGACAAGCGCCTAATTTCCTCAAAGCAGTGTTCTAACAAGCGCCCTGCGATCTCGCTTTCCACCAGTATCATCATTGGCAGGACATCGACATACAACGATCTGAGTTCTAATGATAGCAATAGCTAATGTCTCAATACATCACGAGTTAAAATCCACCTCAAGGCCAAGATAATATATGAAACATCTTCGACGTGGACCTGCCTTTCGAGAGTGGACCTGAGAAAATTATCATGGATCATGATAACTAACGTCGTACTTATCTACAAGGAGCATCGGTATGTTTTAAAAGCACTTGGTTTGGAGATAACCTCGACCTAGGCATCTGGATCCTTGCTAGCGTCGAATTTCCAAAACCATGCGCGGTTTTCTTACGACAGAAGGCTCTGAAATGGAAGCTGGTGGTTTTGCAAATCCGGGGCTGTTTTCCCAAATCTACCTACGTGTGGCCACAGGACCATCTCTTGAGGATTATTGTTGTGTATCGCATCTCGCAGAACACGTTTTGACGGGCGCGCCGTTCAGTATTGTCATGTGCTGTTACGGCCCATAATCCGGGGGCATGTGAGTCCTTCCATTATTCTCAGCTTCTCCCCCTCCCCCTCACCTTGTTGACGACATAGAAGACTTCTACACATCCAATGACCAGCCGACGCGTATAGATCTCTGATGCCTTGCCATGCTTTGAAGCAACATGATGTGTTAAAGAATATATTAGGAAGATATATGATAACTTATCCTTATCTCTTAATGGGCATCTGTGTCCGCATGCTAGCGTTCTTCTCGAGCCTTAAAGATGCTTAAAGAGCGAAAATAGTCCATCTATAGCAAATTACCATAACCTCCCTATGGTAGTACAGTGGGTTGCAAATAATAATATTACAAATGCCATGCAAAGTCAAAGTAGACCTCTGCCGAAAAAAAGAATGACCTGTAAAAACTTGGACAGAACGACGAACGTGTATGCACAGAATGTATATCCACAAGATTAATCCAAGTCTCTGTCAGTTCACTCAAGCCCAGCACCATCCATCGACAGCGTCACGTTGTCGAGTGAGACTCTCCACTACCGCTTCACCCTGTTGGTCATAGTCCCAATAAACCGGTCGTTGACCCCACCCCACCCATCCATATACCCGATACCCAGAGATGAAATCAAATTGATACTCACGCGGGCTAGCTCCGCCAGATGAAGCAGGCGGATCTGCGCCTTCCGCAACCGTCGCTGTGGCTAGCTTCGTCCGCACATCAAACGTCCCCTGATACTTCCGATCAAGAGTCACATTCGATGGACCAAGGTCATTCTGCGCACGCAGCCTCAGTACTGTTGGCGGTGATGAAGGATCGTGAGAGATGGCTGCATTGAGTGCGCCCTTAAAAGTGCGCATGGTGGCAATGAAATTTGGCCGAGTTGGTGTCACTTTATTTGGGGCAAGCAATGTCACATTTGCAGTGATATTACTAAAAGATTGTCAGTCTAGTTAGGGGCAGTGTAAAGCGCAACGACGTACTCGTATCCAGTGCTGAGAGCAAGCAGAGTAGGATACTCTGATTTGGGGTCGTTATAGAGGGAGATGTTGGCATCAATAGGGCTATTCGAGGTACAGATTATAAGAAACAAGTGTTTCGACGAATGATAGATGACATACGCTTTAATGGTGCTTAAAGTCAGACCACTCGTAACATCAAACTGACCAGTTATTGGTTCTAGTGAAGTTTCAACTAGTATCGATTCTGCTTGCATTGACTGGGGATCATGAAACAATTAGCTTCTAGAAGAACTGATAGCGCGAGACGAGGGTAAACATACACCAACAGAAACTTCCGATAGAGGACCTTCTATATCAACTTGCTGGAAATTGACATTAGGGCCCAAATTGCCGAATTTCTGAAGAAACATCGGCAGAAATGTGGAAAAACTGTTGACGTAGGCAGGGCCGATTGTCTGAGGGAAGAGCAAAGTGAAATTCAACATGAGAGAATCAGTGTCGGTGACGTTGCCGGGAACCTGCGAAAGCAGAGTCAGATTGCCCACTCTAGATGCGAGACTAAAAAGACCGACATAGACGGAAAGATCAGTATAGTTATCGGCTGCGATCACACAGACAAGCGTCTGGTTGTTTATGATACTACTCGATGCCTGCATGGTGATCAGAAGGACAGCACTGTCTGTGGTATTGTCGGGATTCATGTCAACGATAAGGTCGCCACTGATGAAGTCGAAATCCTGGTTATAAGAAGCGTTGGTGGAGAAACTGTAGTCTCCATTAGCTGAAACGTTGTACTGGACGCTGATTCAACAAATAAATTTTTTAAGAACGTTCTGTGTGCATGGCAATAAAGAAAGACACACGTTGACAGTATAATGTCTGTGTAGCCGATAGCGTTGGATGATGTCCAGTTACTGCAGACTGGGGTGTAGCCGCTCTGGACGACACCGACAATGTTGTTTGTGTATGCAGGATTTGAGTTTTTATCCTGCCATGGAACGGGGTATGAGAGAGAAGATAGGGAATAGGACTGGATGGTGTTGGTGTTATCGTTGCGGGTTTTCTGCGAAAGGTGAGTGTGTGGCTGGGCCATAGGAGGAAATTGAACGCACAGTGACTATTAGGGGAATGCCGATGACGATGGAGAGGGTAATGTAGATGGTTAAAGCGCAGAGAGTGGCTTTCCAGAACCGAGCATCAAAACGTTTTTTCACAGGAGGTTTGCGGAGAGATTCTGGGGACGGAGATGGGGAGCGATTGAGGTTGAGGGCCAAGGCCTGAGACGTCTCGTAGTCGGGAAGGGGACTGAATGGACGTCTGCCGCCTGCCACGCGTTCTGGGAAACGCAAAGTCGGACCAGTGGCGGAATCATCCTTCAACTTCTGCTGGTCTTCTTCGTCGAGTATTATCATGCCAGGAGGGAGTGCATCGACGACGACGGCGACGAGATGGAAAGAACGGCGACGACGAACGACGGTGCGAGATTGATGATGAGTGATGGGAAAAAATGGGAGCAATTAGGGCTGATTACATAAACATCCCGTGACTAACCGTGACAACAACAGTCACAGGTCACGACCCCTATACGGCTATCCGCACTCAGGCTAGTACGGATTCTGCAGCCACGTTCGATGTCGCCGCCGGACAGTGCCACTGAGTCACCAAGAGAACAAGGTCACCACTGTCCGTCGTAATTCCGAGGATACAAATCTCCAATAACCCCAGAATCCACATCGCTGCACACGCGTCTAATCTTAGACTCGAGTATCGAAGCTTTTAGTGGACATCACCCAGCTGTTCGTTCACGAGGTAGAGGTCAGACGGTTGTCTCCATCTCCACCCTTCTAAACGGTAATCACATCTTGTACTACTCGTCTGCAACAAATCACTGAGGGTTTACTTGGTCCAAACATCATATGCATCGATCATCACACCCTGGTTTCATTGTATTCTATTCTGATCTGCCTGTTTCTTGATCCGTTGCATTTCTTGGTGTGTGCACTCCTAACTTGGGACCGGTATCTCAACCAATCACTCTCACATGCTCGATTCACGCCGTCATGTGGCCTGTACCTGAAGTATGAAACCCTCTGAATCAAGACGGACGCGTCCCACTGTGCTCCACGAGGTAGACATGCGAGAAGAACGACTTTGCTTTATACAGACAACTCCAGACCCATTTCACATTTATTTCACCAGAATACTGCATTATGCCACCATTGCAAACATTGTAGAGATGTCCAAGATATGTGCGTAAATGAATGAACTGTCATGTATCCAGCGCATCTTGAGGATCTCTTACGTTACAATCGCACCACCTATTCGGACGAGCAAGGATAAGTAGATTCAACTTTATGCTACTGTGAATAAAAGTCTCCCACATCGTCGCGAGTTTCTCGGCTTAGAAAGGCATTGAGAAAGCCATGGGTTCGGAGAAAGGCCTCCCTGTCCATCGCGACCTCGATCGAGTCCCTCCTGCAACGAGAAATGTACGCCCAGTACGAAAAACCGGCAAGACATTTGTCACAGTTCCTTGGCATGCACAGGAAACACTTGCTAAGTGCCGTGCACTAAACACGCGACCAGGAGCATCTACAAACGAACGTTTGCAATTAGACAGGTTTCAGCCAGGGACAAACCCAATAGTCATTCGTAATGCCTCTATCTGGACTGGCTTGGACAATGGTCTCGACGTGCTGCAGGCAGACTTGTTCTTGGACAAGGGTCTCATCAAGTCAGTTGGAGAAATTGACCTAACCATACTTGCGAAGGATCGTACAAAGGAAATCACGGTTATAGATGCCCACGTGAGTTCTTCTCTAGCTTTTGCCTTGACAAGGTGTATTTACCAGCTGTATGCGCGTCTTAGGGAACTTGGTTGACCCCAGGGTACGTGTCTACGTTTTCCAGCGCACAAAGATAAGCATAACACTTGTATGTAGAATAGTTGATGTGCACTCACATATGTCAGTTGATGCTGCGCCTGCACTATCAGGTGCAAGTGATGCAAACTCAATGAAAGGGTTGACTTTGCCTTGGTTGCGCTCAATTGATGGCCTAAACACCCACGATGATAGTTATGCTCACTCGATCGCAGGAGGTGTAACTACTTCGTTGATTCTTCCGGGCTCAGCAGATGCTATCGGTATTATTTACCCAACATTTAAATTACAAATCTGCATACTGAATATACCCTCATAGGCGGGCAAGCATTTACTATCAAACTGCGTTCCACACAAGAACGATCTTCGTCGTCTCTCTTGGTGGAGCCACCTTTCGGGTTAAATGGCTCAGATGTTGATTTAGAAGTCCCTCCTAGATGGCGTCACATGAAGTTAGTGTTAGTGTCTCTGCATCTATTGAACGTTTCACTAATCGCATCGCTAGGCACGCGTGTGGTTAGTCTAGTGATGTTACTGTGTTGCATCATTGATACTGATGATCATTCGTGACCACAATAGGAGAGAACCCTTGTATGTTTGTCGTCATACTGATCTTCCTATTGCAATTCTCACAAGTTCGCAGCGCTATCATATTCTGGGACAAGAATGGATACTGTCTGGTCGTACAGAGAAGCGTGAATAACTTCCACTTCTATCTCCTTTCTCCGAGCCAAGCAACCTAACCATTTGTTTCCAGGTACAATCGAGCACGCCAGGTCAAGAATTCTCAAGAAGAATATTGCTCCAAGGCTCTTGCGGGGGATTGGACCGGTCTTGGATCATTCCCAGAAAGCTTTCAGTGGGAAGCCCTTGTTGATGTTCTAAGAGGAAAAGTCAAAGTAAGTGCATGCATATATGCCTATTTGGTCCCTAGATCTAACAGGGCTGAATAGGTTCATACTCATTGCTATGAAGCTGTGGATTTCGATGCCTTCGTCAGAGTATAACTTTTACTTGCGATTTTTGGCACAGTTATTTACCAAACGTCCTTGTAGCTATCCAATGAATTTCAGTTCTCTGTCGCAGCATTCCATCATGCTCACGAGGCTTACCTTGTCTCAGATGTTCTGAAGAAAGCATATGGTTCGCGACTTTGTCTTTCGTACCACAATTGTGCTCAAATCATTTGTAGAGCACCCGCCTGCTGTCGCTATGTTTGCCGCATTTTCTCGGTATGTGAATGCAAATTGTGACTTTTCTATATGACTTTTCTAATTACTTCTTGTAGGTATAAACGCGAAGCTTACCGGCACTCCGAGTTCGTGCCTCGACTATTGCACGACGATGGCATCAAAGTCATCATGGAGGTTCATCACAACACATCTTTACCATGATATTATGATTCACTGATATTCTTGTTGTTATCAGAGTGATCATCCTGCTATCCAGTCTCGTTACCTCCTGCATGAGGCACAGCAGGCTCACTATTACGATTTACCTGAAAACGTTGCACTGGCCTCAGTCATCAGCACTGCTGCAGAAGTACTTGGATTGGACCATAGGTTGGGATACATCAAAGAAGGTAAATCTATTCTCACTCAAAAATGTGAACGCCGTTAATAACTTGACTCTCAAAGGGTACGATGCAGGCTAGTCTGAATACACTCACAAATATTTTGATCACACTCATTTCCTTTGTAGACGTTGTTCTCTGGGACAGTCACCCCCTCGCCCTAGGAGCTACTCCCTTGCAAGTCATCATTGATGGTATCCCACAGATATCTTCTCCTCATGCATCGATCAAGCCCGCTTCCCTCCAATCTTCACCCACTACCCCAGATTTCGAAAAAGAAGCTGCAGACGCGATTAAATACGAAAGTCTCCCACCTCTGGAGCCTTCGCGTACGGTAACAGATTTAGTGATTTTCTATAATGTATCGAGTGTATGGGCGCGAGAAGCTGGCACTGTACAGGCGGCATTCGGGGTCCAAGAGGGCGAATCTAGGGGCGTGGTTGTTGTCGACAACGGACGACTTGTCTGCGCGAACGTGTTGGAGGCCGCTTGTGCTTCGTACATGTCATCAGGCTCAGTTCAGGTCGACTTGCAAGGTGGATCCCTTGCGCCTGCACTTGTGGCTGCAGGTTCTGCGATCGGATTGCAAGACATCGCCGGAGAACCGTCCACTGGCGATGGTACCGTCTATGATGTTATGAAAAGTATACCGAGTGTTGTTGGTGGAGACAGCAGTATCATCAAAGCAATTGATGGTTTGCAATACGGCAGTCGTAATGCACTGTAGGTCTTCTATTACCTCTGTATAATGTTCGTTTAACTAATATTCATCTCAAGGGTCGCTCACCATTCCGGCGTGACAACCGCGATCACTGCGCCAACTTCGAACGGAGTTATTGCAGGCCTGAGTGCTCATTTCTCTTTAGGATCAGCGCATAGACTCCAACAGGGTGCTGTCATCAATGATGTAGCTAGCGTACATGTAAAAATCAGACACCTAGGAGAGCCCAGCGTGAGCCCACAAATCGCCGCTCTGCGCCGACTCCTTCTGGAACCTCAAGGCAGAGAAAGGGGCAAGTAGCTGAAACAAGTCACAAAGGTGTGTTTTTGTGGTAACGATTTAGCGTTAGTTTTACTTAGCCTATGTTGCTATTTTTAGGGAGAGGTACCTCTGGTAGTGGATGTTAAAAGTGCAGACATCATTTGACCCTTCTAGTTCTGAAGAAAGAAGTGGAAGCCGTTTCTGGTGCTCCCATAAAAATGACCCTCTTTAGAGCTGCGGAAGCACATCTTCTCTCTGCCGTTTCATAGACTTCACAATACTGAGCATTTGTTATAATTGACACACCAGCACCTACTTACGCTTCACTTTTGTACTTCTACTTTTATTTTCCAAGTCACATGACCAGTCATGTGACCATTTACTTTACTTTACATTTTCAACTTTTCATAGTCACATGACCAGTTATGTGACATATCACCTGACCAGTGTCTAGACTCATCATGTGACCAGTCACATGCTAGACATCGGACTTTGAACTTTATTTACAACTGTACAGTACCTCATGTATTTTAGTATATAAACTGGAGCAATACATGGGGAAGGACTCAGCGAGTCCTCCTGTTGTCTAGCACAACTAACTCACTGCAGCCAAAGGGGTAACCACTCCCCATCATTTTTTTAATAGTGTGTTCCTGTGTGCGCCGGAGTAAATAACTCTTTGTTACGATCTCTATTGGACATTTAAGGACTACTCATTTCTTTTTACTCATTGGTTATACCATCGGACCGATGACTCATCTCCTTCACGTACACTTCCGTTCCTCTCGCATTCACAGTACCTATTATAGTACTTAGTCCTCAACAGACGGACCTGCCCTAGATAGGACCTAACTCCTATCACCGACTCCTTTTCATTATAAATACCATGTAACAGCAGTAGTATTCTCTAATACAATTCTACGCAGTTTATGCTTACAAAGCTAGACTCCTAAGATCAGACTTCTATTCAGAAGAAGACCAACTCCCGTTGGAAAACCTCTACTCAGAACTACGTTCTCGAACTTGTCTTCAGATAAGTCTCTTTACAAACCTCGATGAACCCTCAGACTTTGTTAAGCACTTCGTGCGTAACACTCTTGGTTGTTACAGCATTGGTTTTTTCCAGTTTAATGGGATCACCTGTAACAGAAGCACCATTAGCGGCTTGGGCAGTACGGAACTTGAGGTGGGATGCAGCTTGGGTAAGTTACTCTCTGATACCGCATGGCTCATCTATCTTAAACTATCGCGTCTGAATAGGCATCTATTGGCTCTCATGGGAAATAAGCACAGCCCAGGCGTTAGCAATAGCATCCATCAATATCGAAACCTTATTTGGCGTGCAGGTTAATCCCATTGATAGAGATATCGTGGCAACAAGTGGAGGAGACCTTCTCAGCTTTGTAGGGAAAGTTGTTGCCATTGTTTCACCCAGGTGGGGCCTGGTAGACATACTGTGAAAGAGGGGACAGTTATCCTATAAAATGCCACTTAGATCTAATAAAACTAAGTGAAACTACAATGGATGTTAGTTAAGGTGATCTCTAATAAATATAATGTAACATACCTCAGCCGCTGCCCAAGAGGCTATAGAAATGACTGAGGTATTTCTATACTAAACTCCCTACTACTTATAGTCAGAGGTGCTACTCCCTACAGTATAATGACTCCTAGGAGAACAATGGCTGCTTTGGCAGAGACCGGGTTTATCCGGTTTTGTCAAGACCAAGATAAATAGGAGAAGATGGGTACAACGTACTCACTTAGATTAGATAAGTACCATACTGATAAGGCAACAGACATACAATTGCCAGTAGATCAGTCTGATAGATAAGACAATTCCTGGTACCGTCAGGTAACCAGGTCTTACGACTGATAATTGACACTGGATCTGGCACCGGTCAGTCGCTCCGGTCATCCGTACTTCGCACGTGTCTGATTACATGTCCTCCCACAACGACAACACTGCATGACATTGTTAACCCGTTTATCGCGCAATGCACCTCAATGTGAAGAAGACCCACTGGAACGGGAAGAAGTACAAATGAGAGTGGATCATTCAATGGTACGAGCCATTTGCCACCTACCACAAGCCATCTTCTTGTAGAAAGTATATTATGTAGGTGAACTTCGGAGCTTCGCCCGAAGATTTACTCTGTGATTATAACCAACTTTTTGTGGCCACCATTGTTCTTTCACATGATATTTACATATGTTTGTTATATAAGAAGCATGTATTTATGTTGTTACGGCCTTCATTTGCCAAAGGAATCCTTCTCCCACACCTGTTCCCGTGCCCTGAGGGACCAAATATCCAACACTTCTCACTCCGGCATAGTGAAATATGCATCCTGTCATTTCCATGCGGTCTACTCCAATGGTTTTCAGAGACTTGCAACATGGCAATGTCATCTTAATACTGGCAACCATTGAGAGGAAACCGTGTCCACCTTTCACTTTACCACATGCCTGGCAAGCTTACTTACGTGTCCAATATGTACAATTACCCGCAGAAGACTGAAAGCTACATATGCTACTATTTAGAACTCTTGTGATCTTTATTGGTGCTTGCCTATTACAGGTGCCAGGGGTGCCTGGAGGGCGATACTATCTTATCATAAACTCTTTTACATACCACTGAATATAACAAAGGTTAAATTCAGTCCTATGGGAATTGAGTAAGTGAGTAACCCCCGAGTGAATCAGTAAGATATACCAGATGAAGCTAGTGGTGATGTGCAATTGGGCCTAAATGGGCCGTTGGGAGGATTATGGCATGGACACATATAGGAGTGCTGGAAGCCCAGAAGCCTTGTGCACCTACCAGGCAAAGGTAGCCAGAGGTTGCTGGACCGAGCAGGGTGATAAAAATGCTTAACAATAAACCAATAAGTTTTTTGTTTGACAAATGGCCATCAATTATCAAGAGACAATGATAAGTTGTTGACAAGAAACCCAAACAAAGCCTGTTGTTGACAGATGACAGACCACTTGGAATACCCAGAAAACTGCACAAACCCTGAAAATAGAAGGTTGGTCTTCACAGGAAGAGAATATGCCTCTCTCCTTAGGGAGACTGAACCTCTAATTACAGCCAGAGAAATCCACACATTAGTAGACAGTGTAAGGACCATTTATGTTTTCTTATTTTCTTATGTTTTCATTTCATGTCTTGGCTCTCAGACACTTTCCCTGTTACACCTCTGGCTCTAGGGCTAGAGGTATCCTTTGCTATCTTGCTTCTCATAACCCTCACAGGCTTTCTTAACCATTATTACCACTTTATATCGCAAATCAGAGACTGGGTAGTACTCCCAGCCAGCCAGCACAATGGGTAAGGACTGGTGGTAGAGATCTTGCCAACCAGCTCCAAGCCCCATCAGTACCTGGAGATATTAATAAACACTTTAGTCAGGATTGTACCTCATCATGAGGATACAGTTCCTAAATATGTGTGACAATACTTATTATTAGTACATTCTCTCACCTGCTAATTAATCCCTGAAGTTGTACAATAGTTATTCTTTTCTTATTGAATAGTTTCATCCTTAGACCACTTTTCTTTTATTCTACTTCCGGTCTAAGAGATAGATGAGTAGCTATAAAAACCCTACATACTCATGTATCGTTCTTTAGCTTTTTATTACTTGAATCACCCACTTTACTCCTAAACAGAAATCATTGAGTTTACTCTAAAGTCCTCTACTTGTTATAATCTCTAACATCTGTTGACCTCAAGCTCCTTGTACCTTTTACTCCCTGCAAGTGTAGTTGGAGACGGGTATCATTTTTGTTATACTTTAAGGTTGCCTCACAGACAGGCTGATTGAGCAACAGCTCAATCAGTGGAGAGAAAGACTTTATAATATAGGGGATAAATTTATTAGCCATTCTATTAGCCACATTAAAAGAGAAATAACTCTTATGCAAAAAGCAGGAGCAGCTAGATCCTGGGGCCCGCTATACAAGCCATCCACAACAGACTGACCCAGATAACCTGTATGGACAATGGCCTGTTGAAGATGATTAAGGAGAGAAGATATCATATTTGAGGCATTAAGAGATGCACTCATAGCTCTTTATCAAACAGACAAAGGTAGCAATGAGTACCTTCAGAGAGCATCTGCTCAATGCAGGTTCAGCAAAACTGTCATATTTCCCCAAATCTGAACCTCCCAAATGTTTGGTTCTCGGGATTACACTCCTCATGGCCTGCCGGTTAGCATATCCCCGTCTCCCACCCCCACATGGTACTCTGGACTCCCATTCCGATACTCCTGCACTGAACTTCTAGTCCGTCATATGCTTTCCTACGCACGTTCCCGTACTCCTCATAGACTCTGTAATTTAGACCTTATGATACACTCCTTGCATATACATTTCTCTCTCGCTAGATAATTGTCCACATGGAACTCTGTACCTACATTATGAGTTACTCCCTACAAGCCCCTGCTCCTCCAACAGTATATAAATTGTAGTTCCTGTACTCCATTCCTGCAGTTTGAATATCAACTAGATTCCCTCGCCTTTTACAAGTCTCTTTCTAAGTTTTCCAATCCTTCTCTGAAGGGTCCTTACTCTGCTCCCCTTTCATCCTCTACTCTCCTCTGTCCATTCTCCACCGAGTTAGGGATCAAGGTCCGTAGAAGGGCCTAGCGCACGAGCTAAGCCAGTTCCCCATCTTGTACTCCATTACCCCCTTCTCCATCTCTGTACTCTGTAACTCCAAACACTCTGCAGGTCACAGTTCTGACAAAAAACACCCTCTGGGGAAAAAGCCCCTATGAGGAGCACTAGGTTCCTCATAAATAAAATAATTATCCAGCACATACAACATAAGCAGAACACGAAGAAATATGGACACCATCTTGTTTTGGTCATAATCCCAATAGTGTTACAATTGACATACCAGCACCTACTTTACGCTTCACTTTTCTGTACTTTTACTTTTTATTTTCCAAGTCACATGACTGATCACGTGACCATTTACTTTACTTTACTTTTCACTTTTCATAGTCTGACTGATCATGTAATGCCTCACCTGACCAGTGTCTAGACTCAATATATGACTGGTCACATGCTGGACAACGGACTTTAAACTTTGTTTACCAACTGCATAGTACCTTATGTATTGTAGTATATATACTGGAGCAATACATGGGGAAGGACCCAGCAAGTCCTCTTCT